AAATTGAGCCACAATGGGATTGGCAGGTGCTCACTGGCCCTTCATTTTGCACAACAACAATGAATTTTATATGTACTGCAACTGTGAATACATAATAAATAGTAAAAATTGAAGGACAACAAGGGATTTTGGGATTGTTGTGGGGAAAAGAGAAAAGAGAACACCAAGCAAGTAGAAAAATGTGAAAAATGCAAAATGCAAAATGCCAAAATGTGAAAATGCAAAAATGCGAAAATATAAAGATGGCAAAAATTGGCAATGGGTAAACAGGAGAATGGGAGGATGGAGAATGGAGAAATGGGGTGAATAGGGAGATGGGAGGATGGGAGGATGACAGGGGGATGGGAGGACAATGAGAGGATGAGAGGACCAGAGGAGGACAAGAGGACAACAAGACATGGGACAATGGGACACAGGACATGGGACAACAGGACACGGGACAATGGGAGATGGGACAACGGGGACACAGGACAATAGGACACGGGACAACAGGTCATGGGACACAGGTCATGGGACAACAGGACACAGGACAATAGGACACAGGACAACAGGTCACGGGACACAGGTCATAGGACAACGGGACATGGGACAATAGGTCACAGGACACGGGTCATGGGACAATGGGACACAGGACAATGGGACATGGGACACGGGACAGTGGGACATGGGACACGGGACAACAGGACAACAGGACACAGGACACAGGAGATGGGAGATGAAGATGGGAGAATTGAGGGGAAAGGCATGAGTCAGTAGCAAGACACAAACAGTTTGACTGAAGGTACCTGGGACACCTGGCTTGCATCCCGCTGGCCGAGGCACGAGGCCACGGGATCGCAGCCAGTGTCCCAGGTAACCTTCAGTCAAACTGTTTGTGCAACATCCCATAACTAAACAAAACTATATAATGTAAGAATTATTGATTTGTTATAATTAAATAATATGTAGACACAGTGAGACAAGGCACCGAAGGTGCCTCCAGCAGAGCACAAAGTGCTCTGCTTGCTTCCTGTGCCGAAGGCACAACGGGCTTGGGCTAGTCTTAAAAAGTAAGGGAGAAGGGAGGGGGGGAATGTGGGGAGGATTTGGGCATTTTCGCGTAGCCCACATGGTTGTCGGCAGTGTCGGTTGTTTTCGGTTGCGTCGGTTGCGTCGGTTGTTTGAATCCCTTCTCCCTTGGAGCGCTGAAAAAGGGAATGCCATGTGGTTCTGTCAAGCGGAGTTTGAATTTTGCGCAAACCTTCGTCCGTTAGTATGTAAGGGTTGACTGATTTGGCAGGTGGCTCCAACAACAATGATGTATATGTACTGTAATTGTGTATACATATAAATGTAGCCACAATAGGATAGAAAAAGAACACCAAGCAAATAGAAAAATATGAAAATGCGAAAATGCGAAATGTGAAAGTGTGAAAATGCAAAAATGCAAAAATATAAAGATGGGAAAAATGGGCAATGGGTAAACATGGGAATGGGAAGATAGAGAATGGAGAAATGGGGTGAATAGGGAGATGGGAGGATGGGAGGATGACAGGGGGACGGGAGGACAATGAGAGGATGAGAGGATAAGAGGACAAGACTACAGGAGGACAAGATGATGGGAGGATAATGGGAGGACAATAGGAGGATGGGAGATGGGGAGGACATGACAATGGGACACAGGACAATGGGACAATGGGACACGGGACACGGGACACGATCCTGCTGGCCGAGGCACGAGGCCACGGGATTGCAAGCCTGTGTCCCAGGTAACCTTCAGTCAAACTGTTTGTGCAACATCCCATAGCTAAAACAAAACTATATAATATTTTTTAAATGTAAGATGTAAGAATTTATTTATTTCACAAAATTAAATAATATGTAGACACAGTGAGGCAAGGCACCTTTGGTGCCTCCAGCAGAGCATGAAATGCTCTGCTTGCTTCCTGTGCCGAAGGCACAATGGGCTTGGACTCGTCTATAAAGTAAGGGAGAACGGTATGGGGGAAGGGGTGGGACGATTTGGGCATTTTCGCGTAGCCCACATGGTGTCGGTTGTTTCGGTTGTTTTCGGTTGCGTCGGTAAGGTCGCTGAAAAAAGGATCCCATGTGGTTCTGTCAAGCGGAGTTTGAATTTGAAAAAACCGTTGTCCCTTACTATACGAGCTCACTGTCCAAACGTGGGAATTTGTAAAAATTGAGCCACAATGGGATTGGCAAGTGCTCACTGGCCCTTCATTTTGCACAACAACAATGAATTTTATATGTACTGCAACTGTGAATACATAATAAATAGTAAAAATTGAAGGACAACAAGGGATTTTGGGATTTTTGTGGGGAAAAGAGAAAGAGAACACCAAGCCAGTAGAAAATGTGAAAAATGGAAAAAAATGCGAAAATATAAAGATGGCAAAAATTGGCAATGGGTAAACAGGAGAATGGGAGGATGGAGAATGGAGAAATGGTAGGCAACAGAGAGATGGGAGAACAATGGGACAATGGGAGGACAATGGGAGGATGGGAGATGGGAGGACAGGACAATGGGACATAGGACAACAGGACATGGGACATGGGATACAGGACAATGGGACATGGGACAACAGGACAATGGGACAACAGGACAACAGGACACGGGACAATGGGACATGGGAGAACAGGGACAACGGGACACAGGACCACAGGACACGGGACACGGGACACGGGACAATGGGACATGGGACATGGGACAATGGGACACGGGACAACAAGACAATGGGACATGGGACAAGATAATTGGGAGGAAGTGTATGAGTCAATAGCATGACACAAAGAGTTTTGACTGAAGGTTACCTGGGACACTGGCTTGCATCCCGCTGGCTGAGGCACGAGGCCACGGGATCGCAAGCCAGTATCCCAGGTAACCTTCAGTCAAACTCTTTGTGCAACATCCCATAACTAAAACAAAACTATATAATATTTTTTAAATGTAAGATGTAAGAATTCATTTATTTCACACAACTAAATAATATGTAGACACAGTGAGGTAAAGCACCAAAGGTGCCTTCAGCATCTATAAAGTAAGGGAGAACGGTATGGGGGAAACCGTGTGAAACGCGTATTCCGCGTAACGCACATGCGTCGTCAGTATCGATTGCGTCGCTTGCGTCGGTTGTTTGAATCCCTTCTCCCTTGGAGCGCTGAAAAAGGGAATGCCATGTGGTTCTGTCAAGCGGAGTTTGAATTTTGCGCAAAACCTTCGTCCGTTAATATGTAAGGGTTGACTGATTTGGCAGGTGGCTCCAACAACAATGATTGTATATGTACTGCAATTGTGTATACATAAAAATGTAGCCACAATAGGATAGAAAAAGAACACCAAGCAAATAGAAAAATATGAAAAATGCGAAAATGTGAAAGTGTGAAAATGCAAAAATATAAAGATGGGAAAATTGAGCAATGGGTAAACATGGGAATGGGATGGGAAGATGGAGAATGGAGAAATGGTGGGTGAATAGGGAGATGGGAGGATGGGAGGATGACAGGGGGATGGGAGGACAATGAGAGGATGAGAGGACAAGAGGAGGACAAGAGGACAGGACTACAGGAGGACAAGACAATGGGAGGACAATGGGAGGATGGGAGATGGGAGGACATGACAATGGGGACACAGGACATGGGACACGGGACACGGGACATGGGACACAGGACATGGGACACGGGACACAGGACACAGGACAATGGGACAATGGGACACAGGAGATGGGAGATGAGAGATGGGAGAATTGAGGGGAAAGGCATGAGTCAGTAGCAAGACACAAACAGTTTGACTGAAGGTTACCTGGGACACTGGCTTGCGATCCCGCTGGCCTAGGCCTCGGCCAGCAGGGATCGCAAGCCAGTGTCCCAGGTAACCTTCAGTCAAACTGTTTGTGCAACATCCCATAACTAAAACAAAACTATATAATGTAAGAAATTATTGATTTGTTATAATTAAATAATATGTAGACACAGTGAGACAAGGCACCGAAGGTGCCTCCAGCAGAGCACAAAGTGCTCTGCTTGCTTCCTGTGCCGAAGGCACAACGGGCTTGGGCTAGTCTATAAAGTAAGGGAGAATGGTATGGGGGAAGGGTGGGACGATTTGGGCATTTTCGCGTAGCCCACATGGTGTCGGTTGTTTCGGTTGTGTCGGTTGTTTCGGTTATCAGACCTTTTAGGAATTTTCGCGTGCTTTTCATTTTCGGAGTTCAATTTCCCTACGAGTTTCGAAACCCTTGCAATCTGAACACCTCTTTTCCCCCACCATCTATTCCCTCACATACTACTGTTGAAATTGTTGAATACCATCTCCCCAGTGATTATTTGTAAATTTGTAGTGAAATTCCCCTCCTGGGGTAAGCTTTACTTATTTAAATACCAAAATAACTTGAAAAATTCAAAAAAAATTAGTGATTTTCGCTTTTCTGCTGTTTTTTGGACCGCATTTTGGACGATTTGGACCTCCCTTGGACCTCCCTTGGACCCCTGGACCCCCCTGGACCCCCCTGGACCCTTTTGGAGAGCAGGTTTGTGTGGTGTGTTTGTTGTTTGTTTCTGGGCCCAAATCCCACGGAGGAACGGGGGAAATTGGGTATACAAGACGAACGTGCGTGGAGTCTTGCAGGCGTCTTCTGCAGTTGTCAAAGACTGTCCTGTGAGATCTCCGTGTCAAGTCCTACCTCCCTGGCTGCCTGTTTTTACGGGTGTTTGCCGGTTGCTATCAGCTTTTGCTGGGACCTCTGATAGCACTACAGTGCAGAGATTTGGTTGGCGGGACGCTTTTTTGCGTTGAGTCTGACTGCTGGGTGTTCTATCTGGCAGTTGCTCACAGTTGCCTTCCTATCCCCTGGGATAATATCTCGGACAGCATTTTTGTTGTCTTCAGCACTGTCATACGTCGATTTCCTGACTGCGATCCTGACCTCGGAGGCTCAGACTTCTTCGACCACCCCACACACACCCACTTTGTTGGATTCCGAACCTATGTACGTAATGTATCTCTCATGTCTTCCTCAACTAATTGTGCTGCAGTGGTGTTTCTATCCTGTCCATTGCCAGATTTTGCCTCATTTTTCGATTTTGTTGCTACGTACTGCCATGTTCGTATATCATTTATTAATTTTTATCGAGTTCTGCTAATCAATTTCCCCTTAGGCTTCCTTCCACTCCACCTACTTCCCCTCAACGAGCCCAGTCTGCTGCACGTCATGCTGAGAGAAATCAACGTAATCTTGGCTCGCCTCCTGCACGACGTGTACCGCAAAATGATCCTGCCCCTGTAGCACCAGATGCTCCCCATATGGTATGTGTATTTTGATTGAAAACTTTGACTGTTGCTGACATATCCTATTCAGAATATTCCTCATATGCTAGGAAATTTAAATCATGCTCAGATCCCTGTGCAGAGATTTCCTGGAATTCCACGAAATGCAATTGAGCGTCATGAGGCGCATCGTCAGTGGCGTGCTCATCACCCACTACCACCCCCACCTGCTCCAGGCTTTGGCTATTTTCCTCCTGGTCCTCCTCCTCCCATCCCTGTCTATCCTCCAGGATTTGGTGGCTATCACCTCCCTCCTGCTCCTGCTCCTGCTCCTGTTCCTGTCCCTGCCCCAGCTCCTGCTCCTGTCCCTGCCCCAGCTCCTGCTCCTGTCTACCCTGCAGCTCAAATGCCGATGTATGGTGCTGTATATTATGAGGGTGCAGCTCGCCCTCAAAACATGCAGAATGCCCATCCAATTCCTCATGAGCCTGGTGCTCAGGGAGTACGTGTCGACCGTAACTTCGATCTCATGGAAAATTTCAATCGACTTCATGAGCAACGTCGAAGGCAAAGACATAATAGACGAGGTCCTGCCCCCAATCCACCACCTCCTGATCTGCCTCCTGCTCCTTTTAATCCTCCCAATCCTCCTCAACCTCAACCTCAACCTCTTCCTCCTCACCCTCTTCCTCCTCAACCTCAACCTCAACCTGATTACGCTCAGTTTAACGTCCAGTTTCATCACCATTTGCAAATCTTGCAAAATCAGGTTGAAGATATAGAAGATCCATATCTTCGCCAACTCAGGGAGGAAATGATACAGCGAGAAGCACAGGAGGCTCATCGTCAGCAACAGCTTCGTGAACAGTTGCAGCGACAAGCACAGCAGGCTCATCAGCAGCAACAGCTTCGTGAACAGTTGCAGCGCAAGCAGGAGGCTCACCAGCAGCAACAAGCACAGGAGGCTCACCAGCGGCAACAGCTTCAGCAACAGTTGCAGGATCGTCAGGCTCAAGAGATGCATAGGCAAGCACAGATTTTGCAAGCCCAACAACAAGCACTCTTGCGAGCACAGGAAGAGGAAGCACGTCATCATTGAAATAGACTCAGCAGGAGCATGAGCGTCATCTTCAGGCAGAGCAACGCAGGCTTGCATATGAGGCACGTATGGAGGATGCTTGGCAGGACTATCACAATACCAGGATCACAGGAGCAGCATGACTCAGGATGAGGAGAGAAGGAGAGCTCAGGAGCATGAACGTCGTCAACAGGAAAATCCAGAGGATGAGCAACCACCACCAGCAACCACCACAGAACATTCCTATTCCTATTCAACAACCACCTCATAATGCTCCTGTTCCTCCTGGAGGTCAACCATATGCAGAGCCTATCAATCATCACACTCTTGGTCCTCTCACTGTAGAGTGTCCCAACTGTCATGCCTGCCACTTTGCAACTGAAAGACTCACCAACTCCTCTGCACGTAATCCAAAATTTGGCATGTGTTGCTTGCAGGGCCAAGTTCATCTCCCACCCCTCCTACCATGGCCTCCTGAGCTCCAGCA